AGGAACAAAATAAACCAACGATAGCAAGGAAACATTGAGCACTTGTAACACTATGAGACAGCAGTTTAAATTAAAGACCCACATCTCTATATTTTGACCAGACCCGATGTTTATATAAAAGTTTGAATCGATGGACAGTTTGGCATTGCTTGTGTTGTGAGTCCAGTTTGTTCCAGAGTTTCACTCCACATACAGACACACAGAAACGTTTACGAGTGTTTTGAGCTCTCTGCAATGAAAAATATCCAAAACCTCTCAAGTTATAAGCTCGCACTGGGGTTATAAAAAACCGTTGTAGGTTAGGCGGTAATAATTTGTTGAATGCTTTGTATAAGACTATAGCTGTACTATATTTTACAAGGTCATCAAATTTTAACAACTTTGACTGCATAAACAGATTATGAGTATGGTCTAGGAAACCCACCTTGTGAATGATCCGCATTGCTCTTTTCTGTAAGATGATCAGAGGATTAATTGTATTCTTGTAAGTATTCCCCCACACTTCAACACAATACGTACGGTATGGGAGTACCAAGGTGCAGTATAGAGTACGGAGTGCATTTCCATCAAAGGTATAATTTAGCTTTATTTATAATTGAGAGGCTTTTTGAGATTTTTGTTTTAATGTGTCTGACATGGGGTTTCCATGACAATTTACTATCAATAATTACGCCCAAAAATTTTGTCTCTTTTACGATTTCAACTTGGGTACCATCAATACTTATGGTCTGATCAGACATAGCATTACGATTACCAAACATCATTATCTTAGTTTTGTTTATATTCAAGGATAATTTATTTGTGTCCATCCACTTTTTTATTATATTGAGTTCCCTGTTTACCGTCTCTACAAGGTCATTATAATCATCACTACAGTAAAATATATTAGTGTCGTCTGCAAATAGTATGAGGTTCAGATCTTTGGACGTACTAAAAATATCATTTATATACACATTAAACAGTTTTGGCCCCAACACTGACCCCTGGGGGACACCACAAGCAACACCAAGAGTATCTGATAAATGCTGACCCATTTTAACAAACTGTACTCTCTCTGTTAAATAACTTTTTAACCAATCCCCAGCCAGCCCCCTAATCCCATATCTTTCCATTTTATTTAGTAGGATTGAGTGGTTTATCGTATCAAAGGCTTTTTTTAGATCAATAAAAACACCAACTGCATACTTTTTTTGCTCCAGTGCATTGGTAATTTCTTCAACAGCTTCAATTATTGCCATTGAGGTAGTTCTCTTGGATCTAAAACCATACTGGCCTTCATTAATTATATGATGCTTTTCAAGAAACTTTTCAAGTCGAGAATTGAAAAGCTTCTCTAAAATTTTTGAGAACTGAGGCAAAAGAGAGATTGGTCTGTAGTTTGTAAAAGCGTGTTTGTTTTCATTTTTGAAGAGTGGAATTACTTTAGCGATTTTCATTTTACTTGGAAAACAGCCAGTAAGGAATGACAAGTTACAGATATAAGTTAGGGGTTTTACAATATTCAGTATAACTTTTTTAACCAATGTCATGTTGATATCATGACAATCAGTAGAGAACTTACTTTTACACATCCGCACAATGTTTGTCACTTCCTGCTCGTTTGTAGGTGAGAGGAAGAGAGACGAGGGATTCCGTTCAATAGCTGATTTTACAACTCCATGGTCTGGAATATCAGCAGCCAACTCAGGGCCAACATTAACAAAAAAATGATTGAACTTATTTACTACATTGTTCATATTATAATCTTCACCATTTTCATCAATAAAATAATCGGGATATGTCAACTTTGAAGAGCCTTGTTTGATTAGGCTATTCAAAGCATCCCAAGTTCCTTTTATATTGTTTTTGTTTTCATATAATTTATTTTGATAATATAACCGTTTGCTTGTTCTTATAATGTCAGTTAATTTATTTTTGTACTTTTTGTATCTTTGCTCCACTTCTTTTGTTTTTAATTTGATAAACAATTTGTAGAGATTGTTTTTCTTTTTACAGGCATTGATTATTCCTTTCGAAATCCAAGGGCTTTTTTTATATTTTTCTTTTACAAAATACTCTTTCACAGGGCAGTGTTTATTATTCAGGGAAGTGAAGATATCTAAAAAATTACAATAAGCACTGTCCACATTTGGTTCACTGTAAACTGAAGTCCAATCCTGGAGCGACAAACTACTATTTAGGGCACGGATTGTTTCCTCAGTTGTTATTCGTTTAAAGATTTTTACCATAGAGTCTTTCGTTTTTTTGAGATTACAGTCATACAAAGTAAAAACAGGTAAGTGGTCAGTGATATCACATATAAATAAGCCACTTGTGATTTGATTCCCCATGATGTTAGTAAAAATGTTATCAATGATTGTGGCACTGTGTGATGTTATTCTGCTCGGTTTTGTTATAGTTGGATACAGAGACAAGCTGTACATTGTGTCATTGAAGTCATCAATGGTTTTTAGCTTGGTTGGATTTAATAAATCAATGTTAAAATCACCACAGATAAATAATTTTTGTTGGTTCACAGCGGAAAACAGTTTATCCATCCACTCATTGAAAGTTTCTATACTTGAACCAGGTGCCCGGTACACACAACTCACGAGTATATTAGTCTTTTTATCATTTAGAATTTCTACCGTTAAGCATTCAAACAATCCATCCACAGCTATGGTCATATTTGTTACGACATTAAATTTAACAGATTTATGAGTGTACAGAGCAACTCCCCCTCCTATTTTATTTTTTCTGTTTGTGTAACTTAATTCATAGCCATCAAGACAAAAATCAATACCTTTATCATCACTGAACCAGGTTTCAGTTATTGCAATAATCCTAAATGGATGAGCGAAGTGTTTCAAGTAATCTTTGATGGCCTCGAAGTTGGTGTACATGCTTCGACTATTGAAATGTATTATTGACAGGTTATCTTCTGATTTTACAGTGTTTTCATATTGTTCTTGGGTAAAATAATTACAGTTTCTAACAATCAAGGAGAGAAAATTATTATCAGGGTCTATCTCAGTATCGGTCTCTGCTGTGGTGTACTCATGATACTCACTGGTTTCCAGTTCCATTTGTTGTTGTTGTAGGATATTCTGTAACATGTCCATATCAATACTTGGTGTAATCCGGGTTCTTGGTGTGTTCAGCATTTTGATGTCAATACTTCTCCAGATCTTCCATCTTCTTCACCACCAAGACTTTTGCTTGTTCCGGTGGACCATTTAATTTGATGAAAATCTTACAGTTATTTACCCAGGTTTGTTGAATTTTGCCTTGTTTTTTGAGTTGTCCTGCGATCCTTGCGATGTCCGCGTATTTCCTTGTCAAATGTTCATTTATGAAAACATTTGTGCCTTTCAGTTTGCGTCCTTGTTTCAGAAGTGCTATTTTCCTTTTTCGATTAGTGAACCTCATGATGACCGCTGGTGGTCTCTCGTTCTTCGTGGGCAGTGGGTGACACGCCTCGATGTGCTCCAGGTCCAACTCTATCCCCGCGCTCCGGAGGTAGGATGCCACCTGTTGCTCCACCGACTGCTCCTCCTGGTCGCTCCGCTCCCCGCTGTCCGTGGTCACCGCACGCGCGTAGGTGCGCGGCCTGATCTTGATGCCAGTGATGACCACATCATTCATGCGGGAGTATTGCTCCAGCTCATCCACTCGCCGCTCCAGATCCAAAATGCGCTCGGTTTTTTCAGCGTTCTGGAGGCGTAGTTGTTTCACCTCCGCCAGTAGCCCCAGAAGCTGCTCCTGCTGCAGTCTGACCGCAGTCACATCGCCACATAGGGAGTGGAGAGAGAGCTTTATTTCCTCGAACTCCTCTGATGTCGGCCCTTTCCTCGGCGGGGGCATCCTGGTGTTTTGGATTCTTTTTTTCTTTTGTTTTCTTTTTTAAGCTGCAATCGAAAAATCACTACGGTACTGCGGGCGCCGCCATGACAGTCCTCCTGACGTCTCGACGTCTCTCGTTCTAATTATTTTCCTTTCCATCCACCCACTATGATGGACAGATTAATGACTGTTTATGATCTTTACACTGCCAAATTCACACACAGGATTTATAAAGCACTTTTTAAATTCTGCTTGTGGGGCTATGTGATTGTGATTTGCTGAAATGTCTCTCCTTGTGTTAAGATCTTCTAAATATCACTTTTTTTGTCTTGATTTCTGATGGTGCAGATCTTTCACAGGTTGCTGCGACAAAACTACAAAACTAAAAATCCCAAAAAAACATTTAAATTATGAATGAGACTTCCAGAGCCTCACGCAGACAACCCCAGAATATTCACACACAAATCTCTCGCCTGCGATCCCAAAGATTCCCTTCTTCAGTCCAAACAAACTCTCTGAAGAAACACTGTTGACTGTTTGCTGCCTTTTTCTCGGCAGCGATAGTAAACCTCATTCTTCACGGTTACTTCACGGTTACGAGCGGCGCCGAAGCCCACGACACACCGTTTTTACAGCCCTTTGATATTGAAGGACCAATGAAAAGCTTCATATCTGTATGCATTGGATTCCCACAAAGCAGCGTTCGCAGTGTGTCCGTTTCACCGCTCGTAATCCTGCTATTTATAGTTGGGGTCACGAGGCGCCGGCCGCGGCTGAATGCAGAAGGAAACGGGAGCGAAGGTGAGCGCCGGCCTTTGAACCGTCAAAGTGATTCTGACATTTTGGTAACATGCCTCCAACCAAACCCAGAGCCCTGGTTTAACCTTTCTCTTATATTTACCATTTTAAACAACCACGTTAAAGGGGACGTCACAAGTTAAATCACATTTTATTTTGTTTTTAAATGTGCAATATCTGTGTGTATTGGATCTTTTCTTTTAACGATGGACCTTAATAAGTGGGATAATGTGTAGCACGCAGGCCATTGTCGGACGAAGCGGACCCCGACACGCTTTTTATCAATAATAATAAAATAAACTTCAGTCACTTTCATGAATTATGACGATACTAAACTGGGAACGTCCTGAACGTCTCTGACTCTGGACCTGGAGACGCTGATGTTTAAGATGGGAGCAGAGGGCTTGGATCAGAGCAGAGGGCTTGGATCAGAGCAGAGGGCTTGGATCAGAGCAGAGGGCTTGGATCAGAGCAGAGGGCTTGGATCAGAGCAGAGGGTTTGGATCAGAGCAGAGGGCTTGGATCAGAGCAGAGGGTTTGGATCAGAGCAGAGGGCTTGGATCAGACCAGAGGGCTTGGATCAGAGCAGAGGGCTTGGATCAGAGCAGAGGGCTTGGATCAGAGCAGAGGGTTTGGATCAGAGCAGAGGGCTTGGATCAGAGCAGAGGGCTTGGATCAGAGCAGAGGGCTTGGATCAGAGCAGAGGGTTTGGATCAGAGCAGAGGGCTTGGATCAGACCAGAGGGCTTGGATCAGAGCAGAGGGCTTGGATCAGAGCAGAGGGCTTGGATCAGAGCAGAGGGTTTGGATCAGAGCAGAGGGTTTGGATCAGAGCAGAGGGTTTGGATCAGAGCAGAGGGTTTGGATCAGAGCAGAGGGCTTGGATCAGAGCAGAGGGTTTGGATCAGAGCAGAGGGCTTGGATCAGAGCAGAGGGCTTGGATCAGAGCAGTTGCGGTCTTTGCCTGAAGGACTTAAGTCGGTAAATCAGTCAGAATCCAGATGAAAGAATCTACAGATCTTCCACTGGAGACCAGGATCAGACTGAGACCAGGATCAGACAAAGGCCAGGATCAGACTGAGACCAGGATCAGACTGAGACCAGGATCAGACTGAGACCAGGATCAGACTGAGACCAGGATCAGACTGAGACCAGGATCAGACTGAGATCAGGATCAGACTAAGGCCAGGATCAGACTGAGACCAGGATCAGACTGAGACCAGGATCAGACTGAGACCAGGATCAGACTGAGGCCAGGATCAGACTGAGACCAGGATCAGACTGAGACCAGGATCAGACTGAGACCAGGATCAGACTGAGACCAGGATCAGACTGAGACCAGGATCAGACTGAGACCAGGATCAGACTGAGACCAGGATCAGACTGAGACCAGGATCAGACTGAGGCCAGGATCAGACTGAGACCAGGATCAGACTGAGACCAGGATCAGACTGAGACCAGGATCAGACTGAGACCAGGATCAGACTGAGACCAGGATCAGACTAAGGCCAGGATCAGACTGAGACCAGGATCAGACTGAGACTAAACGCTGTATAGTTTTGAAACTGTATTTTGTTACACGGACTCTGCAAATGTATCTTTCCAAACAAATCTGAGAGAGAGATTTGTTACGTACGTGACAGGCCTGATACATGCTGCATTCTTACTCTTTGTCTGTGGGGGTGTACCCGGAAAGAGAATTACCCAAGGCTTTTGTATGGCGTCTTCTTTCCTCTCAAAAATCTCTTTACAGGATGGTCCAAAAGTGGTTCTTGGTCCAAAAGTGGCTCTCTTTACATACATTTTCTTCCACTTTATCCATTGCCGGGCAGTGGGGGCAGCCTCTCTCCATCTCTAAAGCAGCGCCCGGCCTCTCTGCGGAGGAGGTGGATCACTTTTATCCGCCGTCTTTTGCCTACATCAAGAAATAGTCCTGACTTCAGAAAAAAGTACTTTCAAATGGACACAAAGTTTTAATGGATTTAGAAATCAAAATAATTCACAGTGTGTAGGAGTCTAAAAGCATTTCCATTACGGTGAATCATGCAACGCAGCGAATCTAAACAAGCAAATCAAAGGCATTAGCAACTTTCCTTTTATAAAAACAGAGAGATTAAGTGCTTTGTGCAATGTTTGTTCTTTTGACAAAATTAGGCCTCACCGAGAAAAGGTGAGGGTTTAGTTTTCTCCAATTCCTCACTTTCCACATTATCAGCGTTGCTCCAATGAGAATCTTCTGGTTTTGATTCTAGGCTCGATAATGATTCACATCTGACGATTGGTTTGAAAACTTCTTTACACGCTCCACATGGTTTCCATCATAAATCTATCACAGAGATGTTTATCCCACACCTGCTTCTCCTGCTTCTCCTTTTGAACCGTGGATATAAATATGAAAACCCTCGAAGGCAATTAACATAAAGGACTTCACGTTCCTGCGTCGCTGCTTCACGTTCCTGCGTCGCTGCTTCACGTTCCTGCGTCACTTCACGTTCCTGCGTCACTTCACGTTCCTGCGTCGCTGCTTCACGTTCCTGCGTCGCTGCGTCACTTCACGTTCCTGCATCGCTGCTTCACGTTCCTGCGTCGCTGCTTCACGTTCCTGCGTCGCTGCTTCACGTTCCTGCGTCGCTGCTTCACGTTCCTGCGTCGCTGCTTCACGTTCCTGCGTCACTTCACGTTCCTGCGTCGCTGCTTCACGTTCCTGCGTCACTTCACGTTCCTGCGTCACTTCACGTTCCTGCGTCACTTCACGTTCCTGCGTCGCTGCTTCACGTTCCTGCGTCGCTGCTTCACGTTCCTGCGTCGCTGCTTCACTTCACGTTCCTGCCTCACTTCACGTTCCTGCGTCACTTCACGTTCCTGCGTCACTTCACGTTCCTGCGTCACTTCACGTTCCTGCGTCACTTCACGTTCCTGCATCGCTGCTTCACGTTCCTGCGTCGCTGCTTCACGTTCCTGCGTCACTTCACGTTCCTGCGTCACTTCACGTTCCTGCGTCACTTCACGTTCCTGTGTCACTTCACGTTCCTGCATCGCTGCTTCACGTTCCTGCGTCGCTGCTTCACGTTCCTGCGTCACTTCACGTTCCTGCGTCACTTCACGTTCCTGCGTCACTTCACGTTCCTGCGTCACTTCACGTTCCTGCGTCACTTCACGTTCCTGCATCGCTGCTTCACGTTCCTGCGTCACTTCACGTTCCTGCGTTGCTGCTTCACGTTCCTGCATCGCTGCTTCACGTTCTTGCGTCGCTGCTTCACGTTGCTGCGTCACTTCACGTTCCTGCATCGCTGCTTCACGTTCCTGCGTCACTTCACGTTCCTGCGTCGCTGCTTCACGTTCCTGCGTCGCTGCTTCACGTTCCTGCGTCGCTGCTTCACGTTCCTGCGTCGCTGCTTCACGTTCCTGCGTCACTTCACGTTCCTGCGTCGCTGCTTCACGTTCCTGCGTCGCTGCTTCACGTTCCTGCGTCACTTCACGTTCCTGCGTCGCTGCTTCACGTTCCTGCGTCGCTGCTTCACGTTCCTGCGTCACTTCACGTTCCTGCGTCGCTGCTTCACGTTCCTGAGTCACTTCACGTTCCTGCGTCACTTCACGTTCCTGCGTCGCTGCTTCACGTTCCTGCGTCGCTGCTTCACGTTCCTGCGTCACTTCACGTTCCTGCGTCGCTGCTTCACGTTCCTGCGTCGCTGCTTCACGTTCCTGCGTCACTTCACGTTCCTGCGTCGCTGCTTCACGTTCCTGAGTCACTTCACGTTCCTGCGTCACTTCACGTTCCTGCGTCGCTGCTTCACGTTCCTGCGTCGCTGCTTCACGTTCCTGCGTCGCTGCTTCACGTTCCTGCGTCACTTCACGTTCCTGCGTCACTTCACGTTCCTGCGTCGCTGCTGCACGTTCCTGCGTCACTTCACGTTCCTGTTTGTCCGACAGTTTTGCTCCATGTTTCTAAACCAGCCTCATTATCTTCCGATCTCCTCCTGAACACAGTGTTGTCTGTGAACCGTTTGTTTTCACCGTGTTCCGCTCTGACCTGAAGCTTCCACATCTATTTTTGATAAACAACAGTGGTGTGAAATGCACTTAAGGCGTTAATATTTCATCTGAGCCACAACGGAACGTCACACGTGTTTCTGCCGTCGGATACTTTATTAGAATCTAGTCCGAGTTCAGGGTCCCCCACAGAGGAGAGAGTCTGAGTATGAGTCCAGGGTCTACAACAGAGGAGAGAGTCTGAGTCTGAGTTCAGGGTCCCCCACAGAGGAGAGAGTCTGAGTATGAGTCCAGGGTCTACAACAGAGGAGAGAGACTGAGTCTGAGTCCAGGGTCTACAACAGAGGAGAGAGTCTGAGTATGAGTCCAGGGTCTACAACAGAGGAGAGAGTCTGAGTCTGAGTCCAGGGTCTACAACAGAGGAGAGAGTCTGAGTCTGAGTCCAGGGTCTACAACAGAGGAGAGAGACTGAGTCTGAGTCCAGGGTCTACAACAGAGGAGAGAGACTGAGTCTGAGTCCAGGGTCTACAACAGAGGAGAGAGTCTGAGTCTGAGTCCAGGGTCTACAACAGAGGAGAGAGTCTGAGTCTGAGTCCAGGGTCTACAACAGAGGAGAGAGTCTGAGTCTGAGTCCAGGGTCTACAACAGAGGAGAGAGACTGAGTCTGAGTCCAGGGTCTACAACAGAGGAGAGAGACTGAGTCTGAGTCCAGGGTCTACAACAGAGGAGAGAGACTGAGTCTGAGTCCAGGGTCTACAACAGAGGAGAGAGTCTGAGTCCAGGGTCTACAACAGAGGAGAGAGACTGAGTCTGAGTCCAGGGTCTACAACAGAGGAGAGAGTCTGAGTCCAGGGTCTACAATAATACATTAATAAATATTATTCATGAAGTTTGACTCTAAATGTTCAGGTTTCTTTATAGAATGATCTATTTCTTTATAGCTCTAAATCACAACAGTCATATTGGAGGATTTTATAAAATTGTTGATTTGCCAGAAGCAGATCAGAGAATCAAACTGTTTGCAGGAAGTGCGATAATAACAAAGGCATAGCAGACACTGGCCCATAGGGGGTGAATGACCACGGTCCAAATGTTCATAAATGTCCTGGACTGTCCTTAGACCCTCCAATTGTGGCCTTTCCACGGCTGTAACCAACAGCCGACTTCAAAGTTTTGCACAAAGAAATATTGAAAAGGTGATGTAAATAATATCCATTCAGTGTAAGTAAGTAAGTAAGTAATCTTTATTTATATACCGCCTTTTCACTGCAGCTCTGAGTCTCAAAGCGGTTTACAATTGTTAATTTTGGGCACTTGTCTCTCACTCCTCACAGAGATGGGAGCGGGGCCAGTACAGGAGGCACATGCTAGAACTATTGGACATATTTTTAGTGGTAGGGGAAACCGGAGTACCCGGAGGAAACCTACGCAGACACGGGGAGAACATGCAAACTTCACTCAGAAAGGCCCTGGTCCGACTGGGATTCGAACCCAGGACCTTCTTGCTGAGAGGCGAGAGTGCTATCCACTCAGCCACCGTGCCGCCCGTGTGTGTTTACGTGTTTACGTGTCATCTGCTGTAAATAATGTATTTACAGAAAATACAAATTGGTGTCGGTCAGAGCCGGTGCAGTCGTGCTGCGGCTGAAAAAGCATAACCAAACACCGACAGAATGTGGACACGTCACTTCGGCACCAGATCCGGCGGGGAGCAGCGAGTCATGTGACCGTGTGAGAATTCAGGGGTTGCCATGGCGACGTGTCCCGCTGCACGCGCTCCGCCACGGCCTCGGCTGCCTCTCCATCCGTCACCACCAGAAAAAAACACTATAATAATAACGTTAGACACGGAATGCATTTCTGGTCACTATCTTGGGAGACAGCCTCCAAAATGTGATTACGTGAAAAGAAAAGTCCTGGAATGTGGATGATAATAATGTAATAAACCAGCAGGAAATCTGGAAGATTGAGTTCCAAAAGTAGATTTTCCACTTCATTTTCTAATCTATTCTTGTGTTTCATGAAGCTGGCCAGTAGGGGGCGCATGAGCAGAGGTGGGACAGTGTTGCTCCCATTGAAAACCATGTAAAGTCTGTTTTGGAGTCAAAGGCTCTCCTCCTGTGCGCTGTACGGTTGTTGGAACAGTCTTAATCGGGGACACTCAATTCTAAGGGAGGACTAACAAATATTTCTCAAAAGAGTCTTGATTTTGGGCATTTTTGGAAAGAAAAACAGAAGAAATTGCTGTGTTTCATTGGGGTGGCCTGCACGGGGCGCTTATCTGGGAAAGCCTTGATCCACCTCGCCCGCCTCATTCCAGTGATTTTTTCAAAGTGTCCTCCTTTATATGAGACCACAGTTGGAACATGAACAAACTCTGTCTTTCTCTATTTGTGCGGTTTTTACAAGCGTACACCGCACAAAAAGATGCTTCTTCTTCTACTATATCTCTGTGTATAAACCACTTCTTCTTCTACTATATCTCTGTGTATAAACCACTTCTTCTTCTACTATATCTCCGTGTATAAACCACTTCTTCTTCTACTATATCTCTGTGTATAAACCACTTCTTCTTCTACTATATCTCTGTGTATAAACCACTTCTTCTTCTACTATATCTCCGTGTATAAACCACTTCTTCTTCTACTATATCTCCGTGTATAAACCACTTCTTCTTCTACTATATCTCCGTGTATAAACCACTTCTTCTTCTACTATATCTCCGTGTATAAACCCCTTCTTCTTCTACTATATCTCTGTGTATAAACCACTTCTTCTTCTACTATATCTCCGTGTATAAACCACTTCTTCTTCTACTATATCTCCGTGTATAAACCCCTTCTTCTTCTACTATATCTCTGTGTATAAACCACTTCTTCTTCTACTATATCTCCGTGTATAAACCACTTCTTCTTCTACTATATCTCCGTGTATCTTTTACACTTTTACACTTTAAACTAGAGAAATGATTCCAGAACAGTCAGTTATTTAGTTTAAGTGATAATACGCCATAATTCATTCAATGACTACTTTTGTACAGTGTTTAGGGCTTATTAGGTGACTGAAACTACTAACAACAATCAATATCCATATTGTTTATAAATTCTCAAAACAATTATTGCTGAAACTCTCAAATCCATAAATGATTCCAACAGTATTTTGAAAACCATCGCTTCTCTTCACTTCTAAAAACCTGAACAATAAATCTGGGAAAGTTCATCTTGTCCTTTTAGTAGATTCAGTTTTCTTTGTAAAGGTTGAATCCAGAGTGGGCGGGTCCCGGCTCAAGAGGGTCCATGAGCACCTGCGCTGACATACTTGTAATCTGACTGCTTTGTCGGTGGGGGTGTACCCGGAAACAGAATACTCCAATGAATTCTAATGAAATCATTTTTCCTCTCAAAAACTGCCTAAGGAGCCACGGTTTGGCACTTTACAGCCGCCCCACTGTGGCACCTGCTGTTCACAGAGGTTAAGTGTCTTGCCCAAGGACACACCGACAGCAGACATCAGTGGGAGTCGGTGGAGAAAGTCTTGAGGTGGACTCGAACCCAGTCTGAGGGAAGGATTTTTTTGGACCTAGTTTAGTCGCTGTGGGATTTTATTACTATTTTATTATCTGTGCCAGGCCCGTGCCGCTAACGCATGCACATGTTTTTACACCATGTTCCTGTGGGAGGGGCCACTCGGGGCCACTCGGGGCCACTCGGGGCCATCTTTACAAAAACAGCAGGAGGGAAAAGTCACACATTTAGTAAGTTTCACGACAGAGGAAGGCGTCGCTAAGTCCGCTAATATCAACAGTCTCAGGTTGAAACACGTCAAAAACATGTGTGTGGTATAGAACTTAAAGAGAGACGGTGGTTTTCAGAGTCTCATAAAAACCTCTGAGCTCGAGTCCCCGTATGGTCTGTCAACTCACATTACACGACGCTGCGCCAAACAACTCATTTGCATAAAATATATCACTTGAAAGTCACTCGTGTATCTGCGTATTGTATTTCAGCAGCACCTGGGAGAAAGTGCACGTCGGCACTTCATGGGTTTATATGTGATTCTGTGTTTGAATCCCCTGAGCTCTCTCCACAGACACAAACTTTAAACATTCTCTGCATTTGTCTGGGGGGCGACAGTAGCTCAGTTGGTAGAGCATTGGCCTTAAGGCCAGAAGGTCGTGGGTTCAATTCCCACCTCTGCACCTTCTCCACCGACTCCCACTGATGACTGCTGTCGTTGTGTCCTTGGGAAAGACACTTAACCCCACTTTGCCCAAAGCCCCCACTGAAAGATCAAGGCTATGCTCACACTCAGAGAGCAGCCGTCCTCCTGTGGACTCACCACCTGCAGAGGGTCAGTGAGGGGCTGGTGCTATGAGACTTGGGTGGCATCTCTGACTGCCACCCCCCTGACCCAGAAATGGATTAAAGGGAAGAAAATGGATGGATGGATGCATTTGTCTGGAACACAGAGTTACACCCACAATTATTCACTCTGTTCCAATACAAGGTCGAGGTCCCGCTCATGACCCTTTGGGGCGACAGTAGCTCAGTTGTAGAGCATTGGCCTTTGAGCCTGAAGGTCGTGGGTTCAAGCCCACCACAAGACTTTCTCCCACGACTGATGTCTGCTGTCGTTGTGTCCTTGGCAAGACACTTTACCTCTGGGAACAGCAGGTGCCACAGTGGGGCGGCTGCGGCTGTAAAGTGCCAAACTGTGGTTGTGTCCTTAGGCAAGACACTTCCCCCACATTAGAATGAGTCTGGTGTGTGTGTGAGTGGTTGGTGGTGGTGGGCGGGGCTGATGGCACAGACTGGTTGCCTCGCTTCTGTCAGTGTGCCCCAGGGCAGCTGTGGCTACAGTAGTTTATCACCACCGTGTTTGGAGAGAGAAGATACTGATGTGAAGCGTCTTTGAGAGTCCAAAAAAAAGCGCTGTATAAAACTTTTTTTTTTGTTAACTCAATAAACTACACAAAACACTAATCTATCTTT